ATGAAACCAAACAGGATTTTTTCAATTTTATATAAATTGTGTTTGGTTTACAAAAAATTAATATGCACCTCGTGACAGAAGCTCTTTTAATTGCTCACGAAATCATTCGTACACCCGTTAGTATTTCGAATGAGAAACTACTTTTATATTTATAAGATAGTTGTGATTGTATGCAACCAACAATACACCTCAATGGTATTCGTTAGAGATTTATCACATTATTTTCGTTATTTCATTTTACGTTGCCTGTTGAACGTAGTGTGATTTTACTTATAACAAAACGATACAGTTTGTGCAATACAAAAATACAAGTTTTCTAATCGGTCTATCGTTTTTCGGTTTTTTAGCAGCAAAACAATTCTAATCAAATTTTTGCTATGTGATGGCCATAAGCTAATCAACAATAATCTGTTCTCATTCTTAATTTAATATATACTGGTTTTCTAAAAACAAATAACCTTGGAGCATCAAAATTGTAGCCACAACAAAATAAATATTTAGAAAATATCTCCTTGTCAAAATCTGAGTGAGACTATGGTCAGTCAACGTGTTCTTCTCATAGTATTTCCCCTCTACCACCTTTTTAATGTCCAAAGCAACAGGTACCTGGTCTATTTTAAGGTGTTGAATATTTATTTGTGTAGAGTCCGTAAAATTCGCCACGGAACTGACGCAAAACATCAAATTATACTAATTATTATTTCTTTATTGTACAAAAATACCACACCGCAAGTATTTCTGAACGGATCGACCACAAACAAGGTCCTTGGGCAGGAATTTGTGTAAAATTGCAAGTCATAAACCACGATTGCAACAAAAAGCGGTTTTATAGTTTTCAAACGTTGTGTATTTGATTTTGCTTAACATTAAGAGTACGAGTAAAACTCGTTTAAGGCGTTAGTCGAGGTCCAGTAGGATTCGAGGGTGTAAAAATGTTCCAGAATGAGTGATACGACACTTTTAAAATTGTAGCTATAGACAAAGTAAATAAAGAGTGATAAGTAGAAGTTTTTTTGTAGTTGTATGAATTGTGGGTTGTCTAACTAAGAGAATAAGTCATACTTTTTTCAACGATTATGAATCTGAAGGACGACTACGCGAGCAAAAAAATGTTTTTAGTCTCTTTGTTAGATATAACAAACCGGTTCATCATTTTGTTTTAACAAAGATCTAATTCACATACTCTTGGGACAAATGCTTTAACTTTTAATTGTGGACCAATGCATTAATTTTGTTAAAATAATACAGTGAAATACCTACCATGAGCTTACGAAAAGTCCTCTAGGCCCTGAAATTTATTTTTGAAATAATGATGTTGGCAACACCAACGCGTTCCTTGTTTGGTTTGACGTTTGACAATGAAATAACTGTCACATAAAGTGTCAAGTAGCTATGATGCCAACATCATTAAAAAATTATTAAAATTAATCGGACCTGATCTAACCCGACCTGATCTAATAAAATTTGCTTAATTATCCCCACCAACAATTTGATGACGTGACCTCAAAGGTTTGCTCAGTAAATACCATTCAAATTTTACAAAATAACATACTCCTGAATTTTCAAGAAATTAAGTCTCGAGGTCGAAATCTCCTAATTCCCCTAATTTTTGAAATTGAAAACAGTTGAAAATTTCATAAGGGAAAAATTTTGCTTGTTAAAAAGTTGCCTCTAAAATCCACCAAAAATTTCTGAATAGGTCTCAATAAGGTGACTCGAAAAATATTAGTGTGTTTATCAATCCGAGCAAGATTTTTTAAACAATCGGTTCGAAAATCAAATTTTTGAGAAATTCTGAAAATGACGTATTTTATATTGGCGATTCTGGAAAAATAGTAGAAGTCGAAATGTACAAACGGTAATTTTGGAAGGTGATCGAAAAAAGTTCAAAATTTTCACAATAGTGAAAAATTTAACTTTCCGAAAAGTTGTATAAAAAAAAACAAAAAAATTTGGAATTACATCTTGACGAGCTGATTCGAAAAATCCACCGTGTTTATGATTCTGAAGCAAGATTTTCCAAATAATTGGTTTGAAAATAAAATTTTGAGAAATCCTAAAAATTGCCATTTTTTAATTGGACGATTCTGGAAAAAGATAGGAATAAAATAAAAATTAAACCAAAAATCACTTCTGGAGACGAAATTTACAAAATAATTTCTTTGTTTTTTTTTAAAGGGTCGCCAAAAAAAGGGTCAAAATTTTCATAATGAGGCATGGAAAAATGAGTGCGAAATTAACTTTTAAATGTCGGAATCTACAAAAAAATGTGTCTTTACAAAATTTTGTTCTGAAATATAGATCTCGTATTCATGATTCCGGAGCAAAATTTTCGAAATAATCGATTTGAAAATCAAATTTTTGAAAATTCGAAATTTTTAAACGTGTTTTGAGTTTGTGGGCATAAACAAAAATAATCACAATTGAGATGGGGTGGGTGGGCGGGGTTAATATTTTACGTTTCTTTCTTAATATACATGGTATTCTTTGAACACCACGATACTCAAAAACATGTTTTTAATTTCTTGTAAAGAAATAAGTATTTTCCAATTAAGCTCCACTTGGTCCACGTCGAATAAAAAAATCATCACAATTGAGACAGGGCGGGTGGGCGGGCTTACACTTGCCTTTTTATTTTAATATCTGCAGACTTGTTTTCACAACATGAAACTTAAAACATGCTTAAAATGGAAATTTTGTAAAGGAAATATCGATTTTGCAACTAGGCTCCTCCCCAAAATTGTAAAATCCATATTTCATGTTTTAAGTTTCTTGTTGTGAAAAGATGGTTATGTGTATTAAGAAAAAAAGGCAAAATATATGTACATATGAACCCGTCTTGAGTTTTTACCATAGATATCCAAAATTTGTCCAAAAAAAGTTCTTAACTAAGAAACTAAGTGATACTTTTTTTATCGACTCTGGATCTGAAGGACGATGTGGCAGTTCATCACTACATTTACCATGTGAGTAAAAGTTTTTAGTCTCTTTGATAGATACAATAAACTGAGATAAATATATGTATTAACTTTACTTAGACACAGTGTAATACCGTATGATCGAAGGAAAAATTCCTCTAGTAGGTCATGAAATTTATTTTTAAAATAATGATGTTGGCAACACCAATGTATTCGTTCTTTAGTATGACAGTTCCCGTCAAACAACTGTCAAATAAAGTGTCAAAAAGCTGCCAACATCATTATTTTAAAAATAAATTTCGCGGCTAACCAGAGGAAGACTTTTTTCAGTTGTATCGTATGTGTCATCATGTAATTCCAAAAAAATTATATGAACCGTTTGTGAAATAATCCATAAAATAAATTGTTTCGTAAATTTTTGGGACACTCAGTCCTAAAAAAAGTAATTACTTAAGCCTAGGTTACTTACCATTCCCACTCTACAGAAGAACATATAACTAACCCCGCCCACCCACCCGCCTCCATTTCGGGGATTAATTTTATCTGCTCTGAGCGAAAAGTGGATCTTATGCAGAAATAAAATTAGTCGCCGGAATGACGAGAGGGGGGTGGGCGGGGCTAGTACTTGCAACGATAAGACTGAACAGTATTAAGAGTACTAACTGGAACTAAATAAGTGAGGGTGGGCGGGGCTATTGTTTGCGAATTACGGCACAATTCGGGACATGGAACATGTCATTCACGGGAATGGCGCGAATTCTGGGACATCCTGTACGTATAAGACAATATTGTTTTATTGATTTCTTGGGATGGCGTCATAAATTTTGTGGGAGAGAATAATGAATAGGTGTTGTTAAATTAAAAAATTAAATTAAGGAAGTGTGTTAAATAATTTCCGGAATAAAATGTAAAATCTGATGATTCAAGCTATATTTTTAAGAAAAACAGCGTATTATTTTATCATTATTTTTATTCCTATTCCTAGGGAATTTCTTATCCTTATGAAAAGTTAAAAAATTGCAATAAATCTGTTGAGAAATTTTAAATTGGTTTTTGCGATTTGTCCTGACCTGACCTGACCTTACCTAACCTAAACTTGTCTAATTAGCCCCACCAACAATTTGATGACATGACCTCGAAAGTTTTCTTACTAAACTCCATTTAAATTTTACAAAATAAGATACTCCTTGCAGTTTATGAATCCGTCTTGAGTTTCTATCATTGGCATCCAAATTTTTGGCCAAAAAAATCCAAATTATATAGTGGCATTTTATATCAGTATAAACGCAACCCGAGCGTGAAATGGCGCTGTGGACATCGCGTCGAATTAATAACTTTTTTTTCTTACACTGTGACTGGTATTACCTATATTTTTTAACTTATAGGGTTATCATAAAACAAATAAAATTTGGTAGAATTATTTTACAATTTTTCGAAGAAAGTGAGTTTGACATTATATGAGCTATTAACTCTAAATTAGTTAATAGCTAAGTTAATTTACTAACTAATCAGCCTAAGCTGCCTTACCTAGTATTTTTTTGTTGTTTACTCTAATTACCTACATTTTTTCGGATTAATTTTAAATTCAACCTTTGCAGAGTAAAAAATAAATTAATTAAAAGCAGGTTTATAATTTAATATATATTTAACAAACTTGGTTAGTTAAATTTTGATAACATATTTAAAAATACCAATTTTAAAGTATTACTGTTGTCAAAATAATCGACAATACATTTGGAATGTAGGTCAAGCGAAATAACCGAAAACAACAACAAACAAATCCACACAAACGAAACTCAAAAAATAAACGCCTGAACACAAAGCGATCGTAACAAACACCGAAATTTTAAAAATAGAAAACCGAAAAAACAAGCATCCAAAACTCGAAACACAAAAACACAATAACAATTAACGCCGCCTTAAACAAATAAACATAGACAACCCAAAATACACCAATTTGCAGTTTACCTGTTTTTCATTACAAACCGATAAACTTTTTCGTCCGCTTCTCCGCCCCGTCAAAACCCGGCAACCTACACCTACCCAACCTAAACCTCGCATCCATCCACCGCGTCCAACCGACTTAATTATCCAACGGAAGTAGTTAAGCTCTGTTTGAGTACGTAATTATTTTTCATTGATGCACTTGTTCCTAAACATAGTGGGGGCGTAACGCTGCCACTACCACCACTCTTCTTTTCCACCACACTCAGTACCACTTCGTGCTACTGCGTGCGCGCATCTTTTGAATTTTTACGACACCGCAACATTTATTATGGACACGTTTAATCCAAGTGACATGTTTACGTGAATTGTGAAAATGCGACTGTGGTGGCTTTGTCTGGCGCTGGCACTGCAGAGGACCGCCGCCAACCTGGACCACCTGGAGGTGGAGGTGGAGTACCAGTGCATCCAGCACTGTCCCTTGCAGGTACGTCTGGTCGCGCATCCGGGGAAGACCCTCAAGGGTGGTTGTATAGCATGGTCCCGCGCGGAGAGCCCTGTGGCACCACGACGCCTATTTATAGCCCAATTAAGCGTTTATCGGTGATCGTTGACCAGCCAGAAATATTAAATAACATCTCGCTCGCTACTTATCGTCTTGCCCGTTTTTTCGGATTACCATAACAAAAGCCGGGTTGATGGTTATCAAGCTGACGCCTGCTATTCTTAGCTTCTTAACACTTGTTTATCTTGGAAATTTCGGAAAATTTTGGCGCCACTCGCTTTTGCGCTCGGTCGTCTGATAATTTTGCAATAAAAGTGTTCGTAAACAGCGATAAGCGAGTCGTTGGGTGTCCGGCGATCGTTTACACTTTACATAACCGTAACCTAATCCCTCTGACCGTGAGTGGTAGTCTGGTTTTGAACAAGCTAATCTGACACTTGAGTTCTTGCGCCGACAGATGTAAAAGTTGATCTTTTAATCAGTCGGCTCACCCTTTCGGAATTCTGGACGTTTGATTTTCTTGGGTAAATAGCGAAGGGCTGGGGAGTCTTGCCACCTGTCGTTCACACCTGAATGACCGGGACTTCCTCGGCCCACCTCTTCCGTTCGAAAATCACACACCCATGCCCGGGTTCAACCATTATGAACAAATTCGATGGTCGGGTTAATTATGCGCATGTTAATGTTTAACGAATTCAGGGGTGTCGAAATTTGTGATAATTTTACGTTGTAATCAACAAGTGTCCCGGAAGAGGCCAATTATGGACTCAACCCCTTAACAAAAGTAACATAATTAACGTAACAATGTAATGGCCAAAGCAAATCAACAAGTAGTGTAATGGTAGCGTTTAGAAGTTGTTAGAGGAATTGTCACTGTTTTGTGAATAAACATTTGATAATAATAGGTGGCGAATGTGCCCAGTTGAGTTTGAAGACAATTTCAATTTTATTTTGATTTTTTAATTTTGCTTTATACTCTCGTGTTTCATAAATATTTGCCACATAGGAGTTGTTCAAAGTACTCTTTCAAAGTAAAGCCAAATTGCAGCATCAACGTTTAAAAATTTTCGAAATTTCAAGAACTGCAAAAACTGTACTATTTTAAAAATATTTTTAATTCAACATCTGAAACTGCTTAGAATTATTGTAAGAATGTTTCAAATCTTGAAGTAATTAAAACGAAACAGTTCTAATAATCTTGAAAAATATAAAATAAGAACATGCTGAATTCGCAAGGCACGATTGAGATATTGGGTAGAGAGAAATCTCGACCTACGAATTCCCCCGAGATGTTCTTTTTCTATCATATTTTAGATTATACTTATGTTTATAATCGCTGAATTTTCTCGAAAATTTGAGAATGCAGTAATGTCGCGCCCGTCTATATGTAATAATAATAAAATAAGAAGTATCATAATAAAATAGCTACTTACCCAAAGTAATATTCTGAACATTTTATTCCATTAATTAATAATTTTAGTCGGGTCCACTGTTTTGAGACGTCAGCTTGGTACCATTGGTGGACAAAAAACGGAGCCACTGTAAGTTGGATTCTTGTCAAGAAGATATGACACGTGATTGACATGGTATTCATCGGTTTAGGTAAAACCGAGGTTAAAATTAAATATTATTTGCAATATAACTGAATTATTTTGTATTTAAATTTCATTTTGATTGACTTTTTGAAGAACAATTTACAATGCTAAAATTTTCAGTGTCCCAGTTTTTCATTTCCGCTGATGGTGCATGCATGCTTGATAGTCGCATTCTTTCGATTTATAAACATACATAATCGAAGTTAAGCATCTAGTACAGAAAATATATTTTCCCGTTGATTATTTGTTGAGAATATATTTGGTATTGTACCTGTGGACAGCGCCCTTCTATTTAAATTATTTTTCGAAAAAGCTGTGTTTGTTTCAATTTTTTTGAATATACAGTATGTCTCCAGATTGAGTTTACAAGAGGATTTTTTTATTGTTTTACAGAAAAGAGTCAAAGGAATACAAATTTGGGTAATGAGTAAAACAAGTATTTTACTAACAAAAACTTTGAAATAATCCATGTTTTTAAAGTAAATCAATATTTTATGCAGATAATTTATTAAAAAAAAAAGTTGTTTATACCTTTAATTTTAATTGAGAATTTGACAGTCTTTATAAAATCACAAATAAAAATTTTCCTCTCGTAAACTCGGTTCGAAACATACTGTATATATATGATAATTATGAATTTCGATTTCCATAAACATTTTCCGTACATAAATTGTTCTAAATATTCTTTTGAAATAAGGTCAAAGTGCATCAACAAAATTTAAACAATTTTGAAAACTTCCAGAGCTGTAAAAATCACACTAGCTTTCCCAAAATTTTTTATAGCTTTAAAGAGTAATTAATAGACATTGATAATGGTACTAAGTATTACAATAATGATTAATATGAGACATTCACAATAAAAAAATGAAGAGTTTCTTCAAAGTTTCTCGGGGCCTGAGAATCTTTAAAATTGAAAAATATTTAAACGTAATTTTAAAGCCTTGGAAGATTTATAATTTGACAATAGAACTTAATACGTAGAATTTAAGATGTTTGAAAAATAATACAAGTTAGAAAAGGAAATTAATCAAAAAATAAAATTTGTCCTACTAAGACTTATGTAAGACTTTCCAAAAGTTTTAAACACTTAATATAAAAATGTTAAAAAAGAAGTTAGTGTTTAGAGAAAACTTCTCTTGCCGCGGAGAAAAAGATGCTGGATTTCCATCTAAGGGCGAATTTTAAAATATTTATATAATAATATTTAAGATAATGTCATTAATTTTTATTTTCAATTTCGATATTAATTTTTCCGAGATAATTGAAATTTTAGTGTTACAAGAAATACATATTCCAAAACATTATTGAAACAATTGCAGTGACTAATTTTTCAATAAAAATGTATTTACGTTTCCATCTGTCTGCTGTCTGTCTTCTGTCGTGTCTCCTGTCGTCCGTCTGTCTTCTGTCGTCCGTCTTCTGTCGTCTGTCTTCTATCGTCTGTTTCTGTCGTCTGTCGTCTCTTGTCTGTCTTCTCTTGCCTGTCTTTTGTTGTCTGTCCTCTGTCTTCTGTCATCTGTCTGTCTCCTGCCGTCTCTTTTCTATCGTTTATCTGTCTCCTATTATCTGTCTGTCTTCTGTTGTCTATCTGTCTTCTGTCGTCTGTGTTTTATCACCTGTCTTTATCGTCTGTCTTCTGTCTTATATCGTCTATATGTCTCCTGTCGTGTGTCTTCTATCGTTTATCTGTCTTCTGTCGTCTGTCTGTCTTCTGTCGTCTGTCTGTCGTCTGTCTGTCTTCTGTCGTCTATCTGTTTTCTGTCGTCTGTCAGTCTTCTGTCGTCTGTCTTCTGTCGTCTGTCTGTCTTCTGTTGTCTGTCTTCTGTCGTCTGTCTTCTGTCGTCTGTCTGGCTCCTGTCATTTGTCTGTCTCCTGCCGTTTGTCTGTCTTCTGTCGTCTGTCTGTCTGTCTGTCTTCTGTCGTCTGTCTGTCTTCTGTCGTCTGTCTGTTTTCTGTCGTCTGTCAGTCTTCTGTCGTCTCTTTTGTCGTCTGTCTTCTGTCGTCTATCTTCTGTCGTCTGTGTTCTGTCGTCTGTCTGGCTCCTATCAAATGTCTGTCTCCTGCCGTCTGTCTGTCTCCTGTCGTCTGTCTGTCTTCTATCGTCTGTCTGTTTTCTGTCGTCTGGCAGTCTTCTGTCGTCTGTCTGTCTTCTGTCGTCTGTCTGTCTTCTGTCGTCTGTCTGTCTTCTGTCGTCTGTCTGTCTTCTGTCGTCTGTCTGGCTCCTGTCATTTGTCTGTCTCCTGCCGTTTGTCTGTCTTCTGTCGTCTGTCTGTCTGTCTGTCTGTCTGTCTTCTGTCGTCTATGCTTTGTCGCCTGTCTTTTGTTGTCTGTCTTCTGTCTTCTATCGTCTATCTGTTTCCTGTCGTCTGTCTTCTATCATCTGTCTGTCTCCTGTCGTCTGTGTTTTATCGCCTGTTTTTTGTCGTCTGTCTTCCGTCTTCTGTCTTCTATCGTCTATCTGTCTCCTGTCGTCTGTCTTCTATCGTTTATTTCTCTCCTGTCGTCTGTCTGTCTTTTGTCGTTTGCCTGTCTTTTGTCGTCTGTCTGTCTTTTGTCGTCTGTCTTTTGTCGTCTGTCTTCTGTCGTCTGTCTGTCGTCTGTCTGTCTTCTGTCGTCTATCTGTTTTCTGTCGTCTGTCAGTCTTCTGTCGTCTGTCTTCTGTCGTCTGTCTGTCTTCTGTTGTCTGTCTTCTGTCGTCTGTCTTCTGTCGTCTGTCTGGCTCCTGTCATTTGTCTGTCTCCTGCCGTTTGTCTGTCTTCTGTCGTCTGTCTGTCTGTCTGTCTTCTGTCGTCTGTCTGTCTTCTGTCGTCTGTCTGTTTTCTGTCGTCTGTCAGTCTTCTGTCGTCTCTTTTGTCGTCTGTCTTCTGTCGTCTATCTTCTGTCGTCTGTCTGTCTTCTGTCGTCTGTCTGTCTTCTGTCGTCTGTCTGTCTTCTGTCGTCTGTCTGGCTCCTGTCATTTGTCTGTCTCCTGCCGTTTGTCTGTCTTCTGTCGTCTGTCTGTCTGTCTGTCTGTCTGTCTTCTGTCGTCTATGCTTTGTCGCCTGTCTTTTGTTGTCTGTCTTCTGTCTTCTATCGTCTATCTGTTTCCTGTCGTCTGTCTTCTATCATCTGTCTGTCTCCTGTCGTCTGTGTTTTATCGCCTGTTTTTTGTCGTCTGTCTTCCGTCTTCCGTCTTCTGTCTTCTATCGTCTATCTGTCTCCTGTCGTCTGTCTTCTATCGTTTATTTCTCTCCTGTCGTCTGTCTGTCTTTTGTCGTTTGCCTGTCTTTTGTCGTCTGTCTGTCTTTTGTCGTCTGTCTTTTGTCGTCTGTCTTCTGTCGTCTATCTTCTGTCGTCCATCTTCTGTCGTCTGTTTTCTGTCGTCTGTCTGGCTCCTATCAAATGTCTGTCTCCTGCCGTCTGTCTGTCTCCTGTCGTCTGTTTGTCTTCTGTCGTCTGCGTTTTGTCGCCTGTGTTTTGTCGTCTGTCTTCTGTCTTCTATTGTCTCCTCGTGTGTCTGTCTCCTGTCGTCTGTCTTCTATCGTTTATTTGTCTTTTGTCGTCTCTCTGTCTTCTGTCGTCTGTCTTTTGTCGTCTGACTCCTGTGGTTTGTCTATCTCCTGTCGTTTGTCTATCTCCTGTCGTTTGTCTGTTTCCTGTCGTCTGTTTTCTATCGCTTATCTGTCTTCTGTCGTCTGTCCTCTGCCTTCTGTCATATGTCTGTCTCCTGCCGTCTCTCTTCTATCGTTTATCTGTCTTCTGTCGTCTGTCTGTCTACTGCCGTCTATCTGTCTTCTGTCGTCTGTGTTTATCGTCTGTCTTTATCGTCTGTCTTCTGTATTATATCATCTATATGTCTCCTGTCGTGTGTCTTCTATCGTATATCTGTCTTCAGTCTTCTGTCCTTTGTCGTCTGTCTATTGTCGTCTGCCTTTTGTCGTCTGTCTTTTGTCGTCTGTCTTTTGTCGTCTGTCTTTTATCGTCTGTCTTTTGTCGTCTGTCTTTTATCGTCCGTCTTTTGTCGTCTGTCTTTTGTCTTCTGTCTTCTATCGTCTATGTGTCTCCTGTCGTCTGTCTTCTATCGTTTATCTGTCTCCTGTCGTCTGTCTGTCTTTTGTCGTCTGTCTGTCTTTTATCGTCTATCTTCTGTCGTCTATCTTCTGTCGTCTGTCGTCTGTCGTCTATCTTCTGTCGTCTGTCTGTCTTCTGTCATCTTACTGTCTTCTGTCGTCTGTCTGTCTCTTTTTTGTCGTCTGTCTATTTTCTATCTTCTGTCTGTCTTCTGTCATCTGTCTGTCATCTGTCGTCTGTCTGTCGTTTGTCTATGGTCTGTCCTTCGCCTGTGTGTCGTCTGTCTTCTGTGTGCCGTCTGTCTTCTGTGTGTCGTCTGTCTGTTGTGTCTGTCTTCTGTGTATCGTCTGTATGTCTGTCTATCTCTCTGTCTGTCTGCCTGCTTGCCTGCCTGTCTATCATCTGTCGATTTTTATTTGATAGATCGATTGTTGTGAAATTTTATACGTAGGTTAATATTTTGTTGATGGTAAAACGTTAACCAAAATTTATCTAATTATTCTCAGCAAAAATTCGATTACGTCACCTCGAAATTTGCTATTTAAATGTTATAAAGTATATAACTTCTCTACTTGTGGTTTATGAATCTGTCTTAAGTTTTTCCCCTAGGCGTCCAAATTCCCCCCCCCCCCCCCCCAAAATCAAAATTGTGTAACGTTTTTTCGTAGAAGAATCTGATACTAATTACTCACTCCATTTTGTGTGTTTTCGTTTGCGATGCGATCAGTGAAATAAACCGTCTCATTGAGTGATTTTTTAACGACCTTACAGCTCAGGATCTATTTTAATATTTACCAATAATAAATTGGAAATGACGTCATCACCTTTTAAAAGGATTGAACAGGAGAAGTTTTGAGCGATATTGTGTTACACTAAAATTTTACAAAATTTCATTTTGTAGGCTCTAAAACAATGTAAAATTTCACTTTAAAAATTTATTTGTTACAATAATCTCTGTAGTAATCTCAAAAATGTTTAAATGATTTTAGCTAAAGTTTTACACTTTACTGCACACAACATTGATACATATTAATAAATTTGGAACATAAATGTGAAACCAGCAATTTTAGAGATTCCCCCAGTTTTAAAAAATTTTACAAGAAAATAATTTACTTACTTAATCTTGAAGGCAAAAAATATAGTGCGAAAATCCAAACATTACCACGTCTCTCGAGCCACCAATAACTAAATAAAACTATTTTCTTGATCTTTAAGCTAAAAAATAAACTTTGCATTTAATTTTGTAAACATTTCACCTAATAAACTAAATTTTGAGCAATTTAGAGACACATATAGCTAGACATCAATCGTAGAAAAAAAACTCGAGATGCAATGTTCGGTTTTTCGTTCTATTTTTGTACCCTAAATAAACAACTAAAATAAAAATTTATAAAAAAAATCAGACAGTGTTCTGTAGCATCTGGAATTGTCTTGTAAAATTTCCTCACTTTTTTTTTCTTCGTTAGCTAACTCTAATTTATTTTGAAAAAATATCAAAAGCTCTTCTAATCCACGTTATAATGACACACTAAACTCGCCGCTAAATAATCTCCTCATTAAACCGACATCTCAACGTGTTTCAAATTACCCGTCTTTATTTCGTCTAAAAAACTCCCATCTCTAGGGAGGTCGGCGCCCCTCGCTATGGGCGCCCAGAAAATCTTATCAAATATAATAATTATAGCAATGGAGTCACGATAGTAAGCGCGAGGGTCAAGCTTCAAAACAGATAGAGTTTAAGAAAAAGGTAATTAATTTCTAATCGAACGACGATTTATTTTACATATCGAACATATTTTTTTAATTGTCGTGTCCTAGGTCTTAATTATACAAACAAGTCAGTTGCCACACACGCAGGGGTACGGCAAACAATAACAATTAATAATGTTGCTCAAATTGTCAGATATGACAACAGAAATCGACTGCGAGATAGGACGTCTGCACCAGCAATGAAATCAATTAGCTTGATTGGGTTAAATTCATAACAGGGTTTGGAATATTCTCGGAATATGCAAGCGTCAAAATAAAGCATGTGGTGGCGGCATGTGAGACGAATTAATTCTAGGATAGACGCGTTCCTATAAAAAAAAATAATTCGTTTGAAATGGAAATTTTGACAGTTCTAACGTTGCATTGTAAGTAGGAACACAACGGTGGAGAGGCGGCAAAATATTTGCGTGTGTAGCCGGAACGTGAAAGAACGCTGCGGCACGAGTCATTTTTACCACAATTTGACAATTATGAAAAACGCGGGAAACAACAACACGACGTACGTTGTTATCGTTTTGCGCCAGATAATTAAATAAGTGCGCTTCTTGTAAATTTTAGCAACTAATTGACGTTATAATAAAAGTCTAAATAAACATTAAAAAGTGTATACTAAATTTTAGATTAAAAGTTATCAAAACGTCCAGCGGCCATGACTGAAGGCCTACATAAAATGTATGAATTAATGCATTGTTATTAATCACAGTCGACATATTTTGTGAAATCTAAATAAACAATTAGATTATTTAGTGCGTAAATTATAAAACTGTCGTTTCCACCCAAGTTGCTTTTCGTATCAATAAGAAAAACATAAATAACACATACTAACACATTTAAGACAAATCGGTGTTTATAAAACACTCGTTACCAAATAACAGTGTCACAACAACACGGAAAATTTGCTTTTGTCAAACTGAAATCGAAATACCCCAAATTATTTGGTCGGAAATGAGTAAAAGCTGTTTTTTTTTTCAGAATCGGACGGATGCAGGCCATTATGACTACGCCTGTGATTACGGATGTAACATCAACGAGGTAAGTCTCAACGGTTCTTCTTTGAAGCGTATCAAGAGCTTCCTTGTCGTTTTCATCACAAAAATTTTAATCACAACGGTAGTAGACCAAAGGAAACCTCTGAATCGTGTGCGAACATGATGTTATTCAGTGAGATCAACCACCACATATCCGCTTCCGTTAGGTGTTGACCATGTCACCCATATTACGTGTACCTGGCGATCATCTCGTGGATAAACGACAAATAAATGAATAAGAATTTTCTGATAAAAATTTTAATACCGGTTTTGAAGATTTATCGATCAAAGATAAATTTTCAAAAATTCGTACATATATTGTGTTTTATTTAATTTTTTCTCTTAGATTCAAGATATTTTCAAAAATTGAAATGTTTATCTTTCTTTTTTCCACAAAATATGTAGATATACTGGTGTAATTTTAGATAGTTGGTTTGTAACAAAGCATTTTAAATTGTGGTAATGATCTTCATGATGTTTAAAAAATATATAAATTAGAGAGCATTATATTTAGGCAAATTTATAATTAATTAATTCAATTTTTTAATTTTCTTCTTCCTGCTGTAGCACTCGTTCGACTGCTGACATCTAACACTACGCAATATACAAATTTTCGGCAGGAGTCATGACGACAGAATTGTGACGATATCAATTTTTATTTTAAAAAATAAAATTGTGGGAAAATTAATTATATCCATTTTTCATCTGATACTAAACCACAAATAACACAACTCGATATAAAATTCAGAGAAGAACTACCTATTTAAATTTAGAGATGACGTCATCAGGTTTCTGGAAAGGATGACAATATGAATTCTGATTAGCGAATTACCACGCTCACTACAATCTTAAAGCGCATGTAAATTTTTTAAGCAATGGATTTACCACTTTCTAAATTAAACAGACTGGAAACCTACGTGCATAATGTTAAAAATAGGGAATAATATAGTATAATTTAATTTCAATTATAAATTTACTTAGCAAAATTTGATATGACGTCATCAAACTTTTGGTGGGAGAGACTATATAAATTTTGGTTAGCATTTAACATCTTTACTTTATAGTTATAATAAACATTTTACAATAATTAGTTTGGCAGTTTCAGAGATTACCTGTTACGATTAATTAAAAATTATGAACAGAAAATAGACACAGAGGAAACAAAGGTATATGCTGGGAAAATTGAGAAAATCTAAAATATATTTTTCATACCATATCACATATAAAAGGAATTAGAAAATGAAAAAAAAGGGAGAAGTCACCAAAAATGTTTATTTAAAAGAGAAGAAAAACGCTGCAAAAAAGGTGTCAAAAATGTGGCAAAATAGGTACAAAAAATAATAGTAAAAAACAGCTCAGGACAGTGAGAACTAAAAAAGGTTATTAAAAAAGGTGAAAAAAAAAATGGAAAAAAAAAGAAAAACTACCAAAAATGTGATTAAAAAGGGAGTCAAAAAAGCTATTAAAAAAGGCACATAAATGCTGCAAAAATACAATTAAAAAAAACTGCAAGGACAAAAGAAATGCGGAAAAAATATTAAAATTGTGAAATTGTCATCAAGATGCTTCAAGATGACGTCATGAAAATTTCTAAATTAATTTGGAAAGTCTGATTCGATGATTATGTTCTTTTTTCAAAGACTTACACGCCTAATGTAAAAAATAGAGAACAAGATATAATTACATCAGGTGATTTTTGAAATGACGAAACTTTACAAAAGTTTATAAAAAAGGGGGTAGAAAAAGAGGATAAAAAACACAAAAGAAAGATTATAAAAAAATGATAAAAAAAAGGGTACAAAAAAAGGTATTAAAAAAATAAAATTCTCGGAACAATCTAGGTCGTTACTTGACGCAGAAAATGTGAACAAAGCACAATTTACGTTAACCACAACACGAGTTATATGTTCTAAAAAACGATCTACGTAATTTGGTGACGTAATGGGCAGCGAAAACTACTTAGATCATATATTTATAAAAAACACACTATATTTATCACGTTTAAATAGGATTTACTGAGCAAAATTTAAGATGACGTCATCAGACTGTTGATGGGAGTGACCAGATAGATTTTGGTTACCATTTAACATCGATACGATGTGCATAAAATAACAATTTCGAAACCGAAGTGTAAGTCAATAAATTTATTTTTATGTTCTTATTCTTATTCTTGGAAAGTACAAATAAATGAGAAAATCTAAAAACATATTTTTCATACCCTATGTGACCCAAGAAAAAAAAGGACCAACGTCATTTAGATATAATCACCCTCAAAATCGGATATATACAGACGACAAAAAATGCAAAATAAGCAACTAAAACAAACCAATTAAAAAGACGATAAAAAAGTAACACACAAGGATGAAAAAAGACAATAAAAAAATGAGACAGGAAAAGAAGATAAAAAAGCAACAAAAAGTGCTATTAAAAAAAGAGTCAAAATTGCAAAAAAGGCCACAGAAATCGATAAAAAATGAGATTAAGAAAAGGTGGCTAAATGAAAAAAACAGCATCTTAAAAAAAGTCTCAAAAAAAAACACAAATAAAAGCGACAAAAACTATTTTGAGATGATATCAAGATGGTAAACATAAAAACTCGCTATAAAATTCGGCCAAAAATGACTTAACAAAAATTTAAAATAACGTCATCAAGGTTTTGGAAAGGATGAAAATATGACTTCTGATTAACAAATTACAACATTTACGAAGCATATGTGAATTCTTAGAACGATTTATTTTGCAGTTTCGAAATTAAAATGGAAATTTTGGTTCTATAATTTTATTCTTTTATTGTTGACAAAATAAATTCGGCGGAAAAGTGAGTCGTTACTTGACCCAGAAAATGTAAACAAAACATAATTTAGGTTACGTTGAGACCACAACACGAGTTGTATGTTTTAAGATACGACCAACCTGCGTAATTTTTTTAAATTTCACTGTGTTTTTCACGTTTAAATAGGATTTACTTGGCAAAATTTAAGATGGTGGGAGATAAATCTTGGTTACCATTTGGCTATGATACGTTGTAAATTAAATACAGATTTCACAATAATTAATTATTCAGTTTCAGAGATGACCTGACCAGTAAAATTAACACGAACAGAAATAGGCAGACGGAAACAAGTGTAAATAAATAAACTTATTCTTACGTTCTTATTCTTATGCTTGGAAAATACAAATAACTGAGAAAATCGAAAAAGATAATTTTCGTAGTCTATGTCACGCAAGAAAAAAAAAATAAGACCGAAATGTCTTAAAAAAATGATATAAAGTTCAACAAAAAAGAAAAAAGGGACAAAAAAACACTATAAAAATGCAACAAAAAAAGGCAAAAACAAAGCGGAAAAAACAATTTAAAAAAATCTTGTTGAAAAAGGGATAAAAACGCAACAAAAACACTACAAAAGGCACGCATAAAAAATGCTATTAAAATTAATATAAAGAGCTACAACAAAAAAGACATAAAAAATTAACCAAAAAAAAAGATTACAAAAAGACCCAAAAATGCTATAAAAAAGGCACCAAAATAACTAAAAATAACGACAAAAAATGACGGTTAAAAAAGGGATAATAAAGCCATGAAAAATTGAAAGTTAAAAAAATTGCAAAAAAACAAAAATGCGATTAAAAAAATTGATAAAAAGCATGATTAAAAAAAGAAGGTGAACAAAACATGTGACTAAATAAATAAAAAGCATCAAAAAAGCGACCAAGAAGAGAACAAAAAATGATACAATATAACTGAAAATTAAATGTAGAGATAGTAGGTGATTTTACGAAAGGAAAATAAAGGGCGGTTGGGTGGGGCTAGCACTTGCCAAAATAAGACTGATTTTGGCAAATGAGCAACTTCCTCAGAAAATAAAGGGCGGGTGGGCGGGGCTACTACTTGCTAAAATAAAACTGATTTTTAGAGGGTATGTAATTTGGCAAAATCAGTCTTATATTGGCAAGTACTAGCATTACCCACCCGCCCTTTATTTTCCTTTCGTAAAATCACCAAGCTTTACTTGCTAAGATAAGACTGATTTTGCCAAATGATATACCTTGTAAAAAATAGAGGGCGGGTGGGCGGGGCTACTGCTTGCTAAGATAAGACTGATTTTGCTACATGTTTTTTTTTGGCTAAACAAACAAAATATGTTACCAAATAAATAAAAAGCTTCAAAAAGCGACCAAGAAGACAACAAAAAATGCTGTAATATAACTGAAAATTAACTGTAGAGATAGTACTTGCCCAAGATAAGACTCATTTTGACAGATGACATCCTTTAAAAAAAATGAAGCGCGGGTGGCCGGGACTAGTACTTACTAAGATAAGACTGATTTTGCCAAATTACATACCCTCTATGAATCAGTTTTATTTTAGCAAGTAGTAGTCCCGCCCACCCGCCCTTTATTTTCAGGGGAAGTTGCTCATTTGCGAAAATCAGTCTTATATTGGCAAGTACTAGCCCCACCCACCCGCCCTTTATTTTCCTTTAGTAAATTCACCAAGCTTTACTTGCTAAGATAAGACTGATTTTGCCAAATGATATACCTTGTAAAAAATAGAGGGCGGGTGGGCGGGGCTACTACTTGCTAAGAAAAGACTGATTTTGCTACATGTTTTTTTTTTGCTAAACAAACAAAATATGTTACCAAATAAATAAAAAGCTTCAAAAAAGCGACTAAGAAGACAACAAAAATGCTATAATATAATTGAAAATTAAATGTAGAGATAGTACTTGCCAAGATAAGACTGATTTTGGCAGATGGCATCTTCTAAAAAAATGAAGGGCGTGTGGTCGGGACTAGTACTTGCTAAGATAAGACTGATTTTGCCAAATTACATACCCTCTAAGAATCAGTTTTATTTTGGCAAGTAGTAGCCCCGCCCACCCGCCCTTTATTTTCTGAGGAAGTTGCTCATTTGCCAAAATCAGTCTTATATTGGCAAGTACTAGCCCCACCCACTCGCCCTTTATTTTCCTTTCGTAAAATCACCAAGCTTTACTTGCTAAG